GTAGCAACTATCTTTCTATCTGTATTTTACAATAGTATTTTAGTAATCAGATAAGGCTGCTGCACTTTTGATCAGAAGCTTTTTCAGTGCCTACCACTGCTAATAGCTTTCCTAATATTAAACGATACTTATGTTCTGGTATAAACTAATGAAATTGATTTGCTAATGTTTTATTTGGGCCTTTGTAGTTATAGTTATAAATAAGATTGGTCTAGCTTCTTTTTGTATGTGCCGATCTTATTTACTTTTTATTACAACATCTGCGTTAATTTCCATATAAAACCTGTATTCACTTATTGTCAATTTCTACCATTTAGAATTTGTTGAAATTTCTTCAATACCCCTAAATATAAAACTTTAAAGATATTTCATTTTTTTCAAATAAAAATAACTTTTTATTATATTTCAACCTATTTATTATAAACAAAAAAATTTGCTTATGGAAAATTCAAGCAACACAGAAAATTGTAAATAAAATTAAAACCACCCTAGATTCTGTTAACATTTTGGTGAACATTCTTGCAGTTTTGTTTTTTCATTAACTCATTTTTATTCGCTCAACAATGTGTTGGAGAACATTCTTTAAGACAATATTTTCTTTTTTTTTTGCCATTTTAATTTTTTTTATTGAGTTAATGATAGGTTACAATCTTGTGAAATTTCAGTTGTATATTAATGTTTGTCATTCGTGTTGTAGGTGCACCCCTTCACCCTTTGTGCCCACCTCCCACCCAACCTTTCCCCTGGTATCCACTAAACTGTTCTTAGTCCATATTTTTAAATTCCTCATATGAGTGGAGTCATACACAGATTATCCTTCTCTAGCTGGCTTATTTCACTTAACATAATTCCCTCAAGGTCCATCCATGTTATTGCAAATAGAATGATTTTGTTCTGTTTTGCAGCTGAGTAGTATTCCATTGTATATATGTACCACATCTTCTTTATCCATTCGTCTGTTGATGGACACTTAGGTTGCTTCCATGTCTTGGCTATTGTAAATAATGCTGCAATGAATATTGGGGTGCATAGGACTTTTGGGATTGCTGACTTCAAGCTCTTTGGATAAATACCCAGTAGTGGGATGGCTGGATCGTATGGTAGTTCTATTTTTAATTTTTTGAGGAATCTCCATACTGTTTTCCATACTGGTTGCACCAGTTTGCATTCCCACCAGCAGTGTATGAGGGTTCCTTTTTCTCCACAACCTCTCCAACATTTGTTACTATTAGTTTTAGATATTTTTGTCATTCTAATGGGTGTAAGGTAATATCTTAGTGTAGTTTTGATTTGCATTTCCCTGATGATCAGCGATGATGAGCATCTTTTCATGTGCCTATTGGCCATCCATATATCTTCTTTGGAGAAATGTCTGTTCATGTCTCCAGTCCATTTTTTGATTGGGTTGTTTGATTTTTTGTTGTTGAGTTGTGAGAGTTCTTTATATATTATGGATATTAAGCCTTTGTCAGATATATGACTTGCAAATATTTTTTCCCAGTTAGTGGGTTGTTTTTTTGTTTCAATCCTGTTTTCATTTGCCTTGAAGAAGCTCTTCAGTCTGATGAAGTCCCATTTGTTTTCTGGATTTGCCTATGGTTCACCATAGCATTCACATCCTGAATTGCAATTCTGTTGGAATTCCAGAAGAGACTCTTTTTGAGAGTAAAATAGCTGGCAAATCTGCTTTTTAAGTTGACACATAAGGTGTCAGAAAAGTGGGTTCTGAAGGAGGCAACCCCTGAGAGATGGCGACACCTGGAATTGAGCAAGGTACCTACACTGAGCTCCTTGTGCTCATCACTTCTGTGAGTTGCCACCTACTTTCGGTTTGGTAAGTCTCATCTCGGATTCCAAGCTCTGCTCTCCTTGCATTTGGAGTTCTCTGACTTTATTTGGGAGTGGCTTTGTCCTCTTGGGGGAGGAACTTGGTCTTTCCTGATTCAAGGTTCTGTCCTTGGATGCAAGGCATCATCCTTGGTGAGTACTCAGTTATTTTCTGAAGGTATCACAGTTCTTTTTGGGGCTACAGCTTGCCGAGAATCCAGGAGTTTTTCTTTGGTTTTCAGATTCCTTTTGGCATCAGGGCTGGGAATCTGGCAACTTTCTTTTGGTTTTAGATTCCTTCTGCAATCATGGCTAGGACTCTAGCAACTTTCTTGTGTTTTCTGGTGAAATTTCAGAAATGGGATCCCAGTCCTCTGAATGTTCTGAGGGAAGACCTCCTTCGGAGACCCCAACTGGGTTTATGTTTAAGAGCTTTGGGCCCTCTATGTGAGCATTTTTAACTAAGTGACTGAGACCAAAAGCAGTCCAGAATTACGATGGCTATTATGAGGAACTTTTGAGCTCTCAAACTCACTTTTCTTAAAAAGCAAATTGGCAGACCATGGCTCTAAAATTAAGAAAATTGAGTGGTATGTCTATTTTCACTGGTATCTGGTGACTTCTGGACATGCACGAAGCTCTAAAATCACCTCTCTACAACATACTGTGTGACAAATAGAAATGGCAAGCAATAGGATATATTGGAGTACATGAGGAAGCCATTTGGTGTAAACCTAATTCAGCCTGACCTTGTTTTTCCAAAAGGTCCTGACCGTGGCTGTTGAGCGTGCATTGTATACCTGCTTTAGACATTTCCTATGGCAAGGACAAAGGCCCTTGAGATAAAGGTGCAACTTCCCTCCCCCTCCCAATGCTGGCATTTCCTTAAGGATTAAGCATCTTTCCTTAGGCTAGGAACTGATTGCTGCGCTCACCTGTGACCACCCAGCACTAGACAACAGACTTGCTTCCTGCTGTACCCGCCGAGATAGCAGACCCACTACCTGCTGTGTCCATCAAGCGCTGTGCCGACAGGGCAATCTTGTGACTATTGTGGGAGGGGCATTTCAATCATGTGTAAAGCATCCTCTTTGGGGGTATAGAACCACTCTGTATACCTCACTTCTTTGGTGCCCTTTCTTCCTTCGGGAAGAAAGGCCCCAGGCCATGGTCCTCACATTTTAGCTCGGAATAAACTCTCTCAAATTTTCATTTATAGATTGGTTATAGATTATTTTTGTTGACATGTGTCTAAATTAATGGAAACAAGCAAAAAGCTGAGGGAAAACAAAATGGCTTCTGAAGCCCATGTTCCCCTCCCCCTTCTTCTTTGTCTCAGGTGCTATCTTGTTTGTCCTCGCAGACTCCTTTGTCTCAGACTCTGCCCCAGCAGCCATCTTGTGCTCAGGCTCTGCCCCCAACCCCATCTTCCTCTCTTCCCCTCTGCAAAAACCTCCCCCTTTAAAATCAGACTCTCTGAGGATTCAAATGCTAAACTCCTAATAACTATTTCTAAGTTAACTGGAGCAAAGAAATGACTAGAAGGAAAAATTTAAATAGCAATTACTCTAGACTTTTGATAATAGACAAATGACTCCAAAGACAGCTCTAAAAGGATTCTTACAGCATGCAAATAAAAATATTTAGTAAAAGACTTTAACCATCTGAATAAGTAACTTTAGCTTGGTCCATCTGCCAGAAGTAAAATTTGGATCTAACTGTTCTTTTGAGTTTCATATTGTTGTACTTGAGACATAGCAAAAGTTTTAAAATGAAAGCTATGAGATCTCTGTTTATGTCTATGTGTCTATCTATGCATGTTATAGAAACATGATTTTTTTTTTTAACTTCTGTATGATGTGCTAAAACTAATTTGTAAAGAGGTCCATTTAATTGGCTTGAAATTAAGCATTATAAATTAAGTATTTTTAAATCTCAGAAATATGATAGAAGGTAACTCAAATGCTTTTCAAGTTTATGTGATCTAGGATTAATCTTTAATAAAAAGAAACACACCTAGCTTAAGGTTTTCTTTAATTGAAACGGGCATGTCTTTAGACGTGAATATAATAGAGACAACTTTCATTCTATCTGGGTTTATTAAGTTTATGTCATCTCTGCTACGAAAATTTGAAATGAAAAAAGGAACTTAAGATGATTGGCTATTTAATGTCTAATCTAAGCATGAGTGCTAAAAGCAAGTAACTAAAGTGTAAATAAGATCAGAGAAAATTCAAAGAAAAAGCAAATGAGTGGGTTCCATTAACTCACCTCCCACCCCGACTGCAGTAGCACTGTATCAAACATCACACAGTCTGAGACTGACGTGGAGAAAGAAGGTGGAAATGAGGAAGGTCTTTTGGACTTCCTGTGTTCAACTATGGTTTTCTATAAGAAGATATTTAATACTTGCCTTTGGTTTTGAGTCCCACATTTTCAGCTTCAGGAGCCCCACTCTTATTTCTGTAACCAACTGAAGTCTATCTGGAGCAGGAACCATCTCCCCAAGTCCTAATTAGTTATAATACTATATGTTATCATTTTCATACATTTTTCTTTATCCTGTGGGTACAAATTATATTCCATGATTGTTTTAATTTGAATTGCTCTGATGTATTAAGGTAGAACTTTTTCCTAGTATGTGTTAGTAATTTGCATTTTTGTTCATTATTCTTGTGCATTTTTTTGTTAATTGTATATTGTTCAATTTCTAAATTTCTGCCTGAGTGTTGGTCTTTTTCTCAGTGAAATATATATATATATTTACATCCTTGGTCCATTGTTACTCTTATACTTTTATCTAGTCATCATTTTCATTATTCTAGTTAAAAAATATGAAATATTTCATATACACAAGACTATATATAAAGTTTATAAGATAAAAAGAATGATGTAATCAACAACCATATGTTTACCAGGGAGTCTAATAAATAGAACATAACAAGTGCCACGGACCCCTTTATGTATTCTCTCCTTCAGGAAAAACCATAACCCTGAATTTTGTGTTTATCATTTTTTCCTTCCCTTCATAGTTTTATTACCTATATATATATCCTAAAACATGTATATTATTTATGTTTGCAAGTTTGCAGAATTTGATGTAAATGGGATCATATTGTACATATTCTCTTTTTAATCAATTTTATTGATATAATGTACATAAAATATAATTTACAGAACACAATTTGATGAGTTTTGGCAGATGTATATACTAGTGTACCTTCCACCACAATCAAAATGCAGAACATTTTCCTCACTGGTAAGTTTCCTGGTCCTTTGTTAATATCCTTCCTTCCACCTCAGGACCCAGGCAGCCACAGAGCTGTTTCTTTCACTGTAGGTTAGTTCACATTTTCTAGAATTTCAGACAGATGAAATCATTTGTGTCTGACTTCTTCCAAAGAGCACAATATTTTTTAAATTTATTCATGTTGTTGTGAATTTCAGTAGTTTGATCATTTCTACTTCTGATTCGTATTCCATTCATATCCATTCACCTGACGGGCTTGTAGATTGTGGGTGTGTCGGCTTCTAGAATGGATCTGGATGATTCCTACTCCTGGAGTTCATGTCCTTGTACAATCCCATCCCTTGAGTGTGAGCTCAATTTAGACACTTGCTCCTAAAAAAAATAGAATATTGTAAAAGTGGGGCTAAGTGGTGGGCAAAATGAGTGAAAGGGATCAAAAGGTGTAAACTTCCAGTTATTAAATAAATAAGTAATGGAGATGGAACATACAGCATGACGACTACAATTATTAATACTGTCTTGCACATTTGAAAGTTGCTAAGTGAGTAAATCTTAAAAATTCTCGTCACAAGAAAAAAAATTGTAACTACACATGGTAACAGATGTTAACCAGACTTATTGTGGTGATCAATTTGCAACATATACAAATATTAAATCATTGTGTTGTACATCTGAAACTAATATGATGTTATATGTTAATTATACCTCAAAAACAAAAAAGAATGCAATAGAGTGATGGGACATCACTTCTGAGATTAGGTATTATAAGAGTCTGATCTCTCTCTCCCTCTCTGTCTCTCATTCTTGCTTTTTTTTTCTTTTTGTCTCCAGAGCACTTTTTTCAAATATACAATACATTATTATTAATTATAGTCACCACACTTATTACTTATAACTGAAAGTTTGTACCCTTTGACCAACATCCCCCATTTTCCCCATCCCTCAGCCCTTGACAACCAACTTTCTACTCTCTGGTTCTGTGAGTTTGACTTTTTAGATTCCACATATAAATGAGATCATATATATAATACAAATAACTCTGCAGCCTGCAGCTGAGAGCGTCTAGACCTGAGTTATAGGGCCATTTCTGGATCTACAGTCATACTGAGGGCAGAGGGCCTGCCTCAGAGTCCAGACAGGTGTGTCTCTTGCTCAGTCCCTGGACAGGTAGGACTGGCAACTAAGAGTGGCTGGAGCCTGGCTATGGACTGCTTCAGGGTTCAGGGCAGAAACAAAGTCAGCAAACTTGTCACCTGGGGCACGGATTGATGTGACTCTTTCTAGGTCCCTTGTAAACATTGCTGGTCACAGGACCAACACCAGACAGGACTATAGCTGAGTCCACAGTGGGACAGGGCAGTTTCTGGGTCTGTAGCCAGGAACATGATCCATAAGTCTGCCACCTGGGTGCAGGCCTGCCTTCTCAAAACAGTCCCCCTTGATCTTGGGCTCCACCAGGGCTCCGCAGTCTCCTTATTACCTGGGTCCAAAAGCTCCACAAAGGAACTTTTGTCAGTGTCTGGTTGCCAAATTATTGCTGCTGAGCGGGGATGCAAGCAAGGGACCTCCTACTTTGCCATCTTTCTTTGTCCATCTTTCTCTCTGGTTCTTTTCCTGCTCTGAGGAAGGAGACCACCATGTTTTCAGAGGTCCTAGTATCAAGGAACTGAAGGCAGCCTCCAGCTACCAGCCCGTGAGGTCCTGAGGCCCTCAGTCCAACAACCTGCAAGGACTGAATCCTGCCCATGAGCATGTGAATGAGCGCGGAAGCTTATCCTTCCCAGTCAAGCCTCGAGACAGCTTGCTGACACCTTGATTGGAGCCTTGTGAGAAGACCCAGACAAGTGTTTTTGATGAAAATTTAGCATCCGTATTGAGCTGTGCTGTAAGTTTAAAATACACACCAGATTTTGAAGACAGTACGAAAAACAAGAATGCAAGATATCTCATTTATAATTTCTTAAGTTGATTACATATTGAAATGATATTTTAGATAAATAAAATTAAATAAAATATTAAACTTAATTTCATTTGTTTATTTTTACTTTTCTAAATATGGCTACTAGAAAATTTTAAATTATATATGTGGCTTATAACCTATAAGGTATCTGTTCTATGTAATGAATTAACTTCTGATCTGTGCGTCTAGAATGTTTCCAACTATGTAGTCTTGGGAGAATTGAGAAAACAGTCATTCAAATCATTCTGTGCATGGCTTATTTCTGCCATGGAAACTCAGTTGGGAAATGCTAGTATAAAGAATTTCAATAAACTACCTTAGGTCACATGCCCATGTAGGACCATCATTGTAGCCAGGCCAGTTGGATATGCGGATACCTCCACTCTGGAGTCATGGGTGAAAACACCTGGATGCCAATGGAAATTGGCAGCTGTCAGAAAGACCATAAATGTACACCACAAGCAATTATCAAATAAAGTAAAATGTAAACTTTCCAGTTTCTACTCTCACACATAAAGAACTTGGAAATCCTTACTTTCTTTCTCACAATTAGAGAAAAGATGAGCAATCTAAAAGACAACAACTCTTCTTAGATCCATCAGATGAGTTCACATGAATGTGAAATTAACCTTCACTGTTGTAAACCACTGAGATTTTAGGGGCTGTTTGTTAGCACAACATGATCTGGCCTATCTTGCCTGATACAGATGGAAAAGTCTTTTCCACTCAAAGTGAGACACAAAATCAAAAAGCATTAGAAGAAAAGGCAAACAGATCTGACCACATAAAAATGGCACACATCTATTTGGCAAAACACATCAAATTGAAAGACAAAGGGCAAGTTAGAGAAAATATTTGCAGCCTGTATGACAAAAAGCTGACATCCAAAACAATTAAGAGTTCCTAACAAACCAACCATCTAATGGGAAAGAGGGCAAAAGCTGTCAAAGTGCAATTCCAAAAGAAGAAATACAATTGGCTAATAAATATGCAAAAAGATATCTAATTGCAGTGTTAACTAGAATTAAAAATTCAAATAAAAGCACTATCCTGTCTAATAGTAAAAATTAAAGGTTCTTTATAATAATCTTTGATGGCAGGGATGTGGATAAACAGACACTATCATAACCTAGTGGACGTACAAGTTGGTGCAAAGGTTTTAGAAGGTAAGAGGACAATGTATATATGTGCATGTGTATCTCAAAATTTACATTTGCACTTCCATTAACTTGATAAAGTTATAGGGATTGATCTTAAGTAAATAACTAGAGAAATTTGGAAAGACATCTCTGTCAAGATATTCATCACAGCATTGTATGTTATTGCAAAACAATTGGAAACAATCCAAATTATATCAATAGGAGAGTGATTAAATAACTTATGGTTTATGTGTACAATAATATATCTGTGAAACCGTTAAAACAGATAAAACTCAACTTTAGTCATTGTCATGTAAAAGTTATATTGCATAATGTGTAGGAAAAGTAAAAATCAGATTTCAGAACAGTAATGCTTCTACTGATGTGAAATGTGCATATCACATACGTGTAAAAACTCTGGAGGAATAAATATATAGTTTTTAAGAGGAATTAACTCTGAATAATGCTATTTTGGTGAAGTAAAGGGACACTCGGATTTTTCCTTTCTACGTGACAAAATAATATTTTCTGAATGTTTCCACTATCAGATATGACATTTCTAAATAAGTTTCAAATAAAGATATTTACGTTTGGGGACAGAAAGAGAGAAATCCCAAAGAAAATGCAGCTTCCTCACATGTTATAAAAGCCCTTTGGTCTTGGAGGATTGAGAAGATACTTGGAACACATCCTTAAGAGTTTGGGATGAGTGTTAGGGAGGTAGCAATGCCAAGACCTGGAGATCATCTGGGGTAATAGATAAGATTAGCTGGATGGTGTCAAATGCTCTTGGGGTAGATGGAGTGGTAGAAATGGCAGTGGTAATGCTCTCAAAGTATTTTCTGTGTTCGGCTCTGAGAAAAAGTTCATACAGGTTATTGTGGTCAAGGTCATTAAATGTGAAGAACTGTGGAGAGATGATCTTGTCCCAGTTTCTTATGGTATAGGTGGAAAAAAGTCCAACCATAGAAAGGAACTTCCTAAGGTCACAGAGCAGCAATTAGAGTCCACATTCCTGATTTTCATTCACAAGAATTTTGCCTCTTGAGGGAAACTCATTCTCTTTAACCCTGAAGTGCCTGGAGACCCAAGAGTATCACTAAAGAGACACACTTCATCTCTGTTTTCTAGACTGTATTGGCAAGCTCTGTTCCCAAAAGCAGGGAGGCTGATAACTTTGATGTCCTAGTGAGATTGTGGAAGACGAACCCTCAGCATGCACATCCTCCCTCCCTCTCTCCCATCTGTTGGTCCTGTTTTCTGTCCCTCTAAGATCATCTCCTAGCCAAGGGGAGCAGAAGAGGAGTTCCCAGAATACTTTGCATCATTATACCTTCAACAAAACAAACTTTTTTTCCTAGTAGGAAAGGTGAGGCCCAACCATAACATCAAAGATACTAGTTATTACATGGCCACATGCAGATAAAAAGTGATTCTATAGTATGAATTTTATTCTCATCTCCCATCTCTATTCATTCTTCATTTTCTTCACATCCATCTTTGACATCATCAATATTCCTGAGGCATCTTGTTTGATACTCCTAATTTTCAATCCTTTCTTATCTCCCATTCCTTGTTTCTTTTCCCTAATTTCTATCCTTCTTTCTAATCCCTCTTGCTCACCATCCTATCCCATCCCTCCTTATATCCACATATTATATCTTCATTCTTCCACTCCTAATCCTGTCCTACCTCCCATTCTCATGTCTTTTCTTCCCGTCCTCATCTCAGCCCATCCTTCAAGTTCCTTGGCTTCAAGAAGAGGACACAGAGAAGCCAGGCTGTAGGTGTAGCCATGGGACAGTTTTAGAGGTGTTACAGGAAAGGGAGAGTAGAATTACCAGAACAGTGTAAGTACTCTTCCAAGGGAGGGTGGAGAAAAGATACAAATCAGAAATGGATGAGGTGAAAGCTGGATAAACATCAATATGAGGAAATTCTCTGGGTTGGAGCTGTACTGATGCACTAATAAAATGAAGTTGGGAAGAGGCGTCTTTCATTTATGGATACTTTCTGAGCTAGGAGGTTTGGAAGAGAAAAGTAATACTTTGGAGGAGAAGGTTATATTGGACATTCTACATTGAAAACTCTTAGGACCCAGTTGGAGTATAACTGCTTATTCTTTCAAAGGCTTGATTGTATATTTGAGGAAGGTGACTTGTCCAATAAGAGAGAAAGACATGCAGGGGCTGGAGATGGAGCATTCCTTTTTTGACCTGAAGATAAATCACGCATACATTGATGTAGTTTTTATTTAGTGGGCTATTTCCCTCTATAGACCCTACCTGTCCCCTAAAAATCCTATGGGATTCTTTTGTGGTAGTAGAGAGAAGGAACTGATTTTCTTAGAGGCGAAAGGTGAACAGTAAGATAGAATAATCCTTGACACTGAGTCCATGATTTAAAACATCTTACTGCACTCTTACCTAGAGGGACTCTCATATCCCCTCCAGAAGAAAACTTCACAGTGATATTCTTGGTTACTTAGGCTGTGATTAATCAAATAGCCCTTCCCTCTAGGACATTGCTGCCCAGAACTATTGGGCTTCCAAGGCTTCAACTCTACCCAGAAGTTGAGGACAGTCAAAACAAGGTGGCAACCTGCCCGGTAGAACATAACTTCGTATCTCCCATCTTATTTGTTTTCCTCTGTAGCACTTACCACTATGTGATATTCCACGGAGGATGCTCATTTAATTCATTTATTTTGTCCCATTATTAGAATGTGAGTTGATATGTGGAAAGATTTTGTCTCTTTGTTTACCAATGTCCTGGAAGAGTGTCTGGATCATGAAACAATTCAATAAATACTTGTTGTATGAATAAATAAATGAATCATGAAGGGTTTCCTTATAGGACAAGTGTGTCACACAACTCTTCATACATCAAGAGACAGGAAAAATGGTCCATTACAATTTTTCCAGATTACTGCCTTCTTGGGAAATATTCCTCAATCCAGAAAGGGCAAGAAAGGAGGGATCTATCACCCCTCAGGTCAGTGACTCCCTCCCCACAAGTACCCGCCACAAGGCACCCTGAACATCAGGGTTTCTAAGGCTATAGATTAATGGGTTCAGCATGGGATTGATAACTGTATTGAAAACACCAACCCCTTTATCCTTGTCTGAAGCTTCTACTGAACCCAAACGCATGTAGTTGAAGATACCTGTCCCGTAAAAGAGGCAAACCACAGTGAGGTGGGAGCCACACGTGGAGAAGGCCTTCTTCCTACCCTCCACTGAATGGATCTGAAGAACTACAGCTGCCACGTGGATGTAGGAGGTGATGATGAGAACCATAGCTACACCCGCCATTATGAAACATGCGGCAAAGAGCAGCAGCTCATTGAGTTGAGTGCTGGAGCAGGAGAGCTGGAAGAGCTGTGGGAGGTCACAATAGAAGTGATTGACCTCATTAGGACCACAGAATTTGAGAGTAGTTAGGGCAATAGTGTGGGTCAGTGCATTGATGAAGGCACAGGCCCAGGACACAGCCACCAATATCCACTGGACTGCCTGGTTCATGCGGGTGCTATAGGTGAGGGGCCGGCAGATGGCCAGGAATCGGTCATAGGCCATGGCTGTCAACAGGAAGCAGTCCATTCCAGCCAGGAGGTGGAAGAAGAAGAGCTGTGTGAGGCAGGCTCCATAGGAAACTGTACGCTTGTGGGACAAGAGACGACCCAACATTGAGGGAACAGTGACGGTGATGCACCCAACATCCAGCACTGATAGATTCCCCAGGAAGAAGTACATGGGGGTGTGGAGTTTGGGTTCCACCAAGGTGGCTGTCAGAATACTGAGGTTGCCCCCATCTGTGACCAGGTAGACAAAAAGGAAGAGCACAAAGACCACAGACTGCAGCTTTTCACTTTGTACCAAGCCCAATAGAATGAACTCAGCAACAGCTGTCTTGTTGTTCCCAGATTCTGGATCCATGAGTCCCTGTAAGGAAATGTCCCAGGAGGGGAGGTGTAAGTCCATTAAATTTATTTATTCCACATAAATGTTGTAAATCACCTATGTTAAAAGCGCCAGGGAAGTTCCCAACTGTCTCGGTGATGATTTTCCCATTCCCCAGGCCACACCTCACTCACTGACCTCGTCCATCACCTCAATGCCTTTACCTTGCTCTAGCTGAGCTGCCCTATGCCATCACCACCTTGAACATCCCATCCTCTCCTAGCTTAAAGGGCCAGAATGCTTGAGAAAATAAATTAAGATAAAAGCACCTGATAGCTCTCTGAATGTAGTGAGATTGAGATGGAATTTCCCCACTTTTCTCGAAGGAATCAGCCTAAACCAAGAAGCAGATTTCAAAATAGAACAATTAATGATACTTCCAGAGAAAGTAGAAAGCATTTGAGAACATAATGTAGGTTTTAAGCCTTCTAGAAATATTGAAGATCAAGCAAAGTTATAGCAAGAATCAGAGAAGATTCCCATGATTGTGGATATCAGATAGTCCAGCCAAGTACATTTCTCTAAGGTGGCAGACATACTCTGAAGTATAAATTCAAAATCCCTTGGTCATTAAATACTTGGTGTTCTTGTTAATTAAGCCCTTAAACTGGACTTTGAGTAACAGCTTAATTTAATATTATTTATTCCTTTTGTAGTATTTGCTATCTTCCCCTGAAATCAAAATTTCAAGCATACCGGTGGGGTGGTTTCTGCTAGGTGCCATTAGTTTTCTGCATCACACAGCCACTCCTTTCCCTTGTTTTTAGCTCAGGGGTGGTAGGGTGAGCAATAGCTCTAAGGAGAGGTCCTCAAATGAAGCAGGCACATTTGAGCCAGATTGAGCTAAGTCTTTTAGATCTTATAATAAGGTCCTGATAAAACAATATCAATCTCTCTTTATTGCCCATTGAATAAGCTGAGCTACACCTTCGCTAAGAGTACTGTTATTCCCTTGCAAAGAATACACTGGAATCAGAGGTTGGGTGGGAAGCAGTTGGAGTCTGGGAACTCTAAGGGAGAGGAAAGAATGATGAGGGCCTGAGCTCACAAGGATGAAAAGTTGGATGTAGTGATCACTAAGATAGCCCTAAAATGCTAAGATCACATGATTGATGAGGTGGGAGGGATTATCCTCAGGCTGATCATCTCTGATGAAATTGCTAATTGATAAATATTTGCAAATTGATAAATCAATGAAGGGATAATGCTATGTTAAGCATTAAGTCACACTACTCTATAAAGTAGAGTTATATTAAAGAGCAATTAACTAATCTCCTTGTTCCCTTTTGGGTCCATTTTAACCCAAGCATTAGATTGTGACCCTGGGACTTTCTACCTCTTTGCTCATACTGTTTTCTCTACCTACAAGGGCTTCCCTCTAATGCCACATGTCTAATTATTTCAAGCTTTGGCTCAAATCCTGGCTGCTGGAGGAATCCTTTATGGAAACTTGCCCATCTCAAAAGGATCTCTATCTCTCTCCTAAACTCCCACTACACATAATTTCATGAAACTTATTACTGTTCACCTTCTAGTTAAGTCTTTTCTCTATAGAGTCTATCTCCCTTACTTCTCTGTAAGTGACTTGAGGACAGCATACATGTTTGATTCAGTTTTCCATAGCAATACTTACCATAATACTTCACACATAGTAGGTACTCAATGTTTCTTAAACAAATAAATGAATGGACAAATGTCCATAGGATTTGGGAGAAAGAGAGCTTCAAGATGAGCTAGAGTTGTCATGGAAGACTCTCTGGATGTATTGGAGTTTGGGCCAGACCTTTATAGAGTAGTGTGACTTAAGGGAGGAGTAGAGGCGTGTGCAGCGTGCAAGGTTGCTGCAAGGACTGCTCCTTTCCTTGGTTTTGATGTGAGAAGCAGGTAATATAGGAATCCACACACTGGCCTATTTATGTTCATGTAAACCACTCAAAAGAAGAAGACCCTTAGGAGGGGTATATCTTATTGATAAGTGAGTTAGAGCCAGGGAGAGAAGAACAACAAGACTGCTGCTGCCAACCCTCAGATGGCCAGAGACGCAGCTTGCTGAAAATCAGCAGGATTCTGGGATGACCTCTGATCGTCCAGAGACATCCAGAGTGTCTGATGCACGTCATGCCCATCATGAGATGCCCTCCTGCATTACTACTCTCAGGGCTTTGTAATGAGCCCCAGGTTCTCCTTACTGAGCTATGACAGCTCTCTATTCTGGAACTTGACCAATCCCTACCTGCTCCCAGGGATGAAAAGCCTCAACAAGGCCTCTGACTGGAGAGAAGGTTCTAGGCTGCCTGATGAAGTGGGTCCTTGGCAGTGAACTGGACTTGGTGAATCCCTTCATACTCTCTCCTAAGAGTAACAGAGAACATACTTCCTCCAGTAAAGGGAGGCGTGGGCAAGGGGCCCAGAAAAGGAGCCAAGACTTCTGGGTTATCACCTTGGATCTTCCCGTAAAACGTCTTCCCTCTTCAGGGACATCAGCTGCACCAGGTGTAAAGTCAGATTTCAGCTGATGGCAACACAGCCCTGTCTCTGTTTTATAAGAGCAGAGGAAGGACCCCTGAGCGTACTCACCTTGGCATGCGCATAGAAGCCAGTGAGGTTTCTTCAGGAAAGGAGACGAAGAGTTATACTGATGCAGTTTTCAACCCAGAAAGCAAGTAAGGGGATATATGTAAGAAAATGAGGAAAAACAAGCTGATATCTTCTCTGTCATAGGGCTATCTTCACTACTGTGTTATCCCTTGGGGGACTCAGAAATAAGTTCTCCCAGGAAAGGGAGATAGATGGGGAGAGAGACAAATTGTTTTGTAAACAATGCAAGCCCTTCACAAATGTGGCAGCAATGTCTTACATCATCTGGTATTTAGACTTTTTTAAAAAAGGCTTTATCTCTAGCCTTGACTTTATGGAAGGTAGTTAGAACAGGTGATAAAATTCCACTGAAGGGTGGGGTCGCTGAGGATGACAGGACTTGTCCATATCCTCAAAGTCACCCAGGAAGCCAGGGGTGTAATTGGGACTAGATGTAGTTTTCTTAAATGAGGTGTTTTCTTCCCCAGATGTCAGCCCCAAGCATGCCCTTGTGGCAGAAACAAGCTAATTTCTAGACTGTCTTTGGACCTGGGGATGAGGAGGAGGCACCAGAAGAGAGGCAAGAGGGAGAGGCTTTCTTCACACTCAGTTTCCTAACAATTCCTCAGAGATGTGGTGCTTTCCCCCTCAGGGTCTTGTTAGTGGGACCACTGGGACTGTGTCTTGGGGTTCCTGTAATGATTCTGAAAGTGGTGGTAGAAGAGCTTCATTGAGCTAGAAGGTCTCCTGGGAAGCTGCCTACCAGTACGATTGTCAAAGCCAGGCAGTTAGAAGATGAAAGCCCTGGTGAAGGTCACAGGTTCATAAACAGAAGATGTGGGAAGGTTTAGGAGTGTGTTCCTCTGACTCTCACACACACCAATGATTAAACACCCAACACTCCCTCCCCAGGAGAGACTGTTCTCTCTCCTCCCACCAGATAAGACTAGTGCAGTTGGAAAAGCACTGTAGACAGACCTGATCTTCTGTCTTCTATTAGTGGTTTGACTTTGGACAAACTGCTGTACCATTTTGGGCCTCAGTTTCCTCATCTGTGAAATGAACATCCCTTATCACAGAGCATTGCTGTGAAGATTATTGAGGAAGTAAGATGCATTAAGCTTCTAGTAGAAGCTTCTAGTAGAAGTTTAACATTATATCAACATACAACTGATAACATTTAGGAGTGATTGTTACGTACATGGTAATGTGCTAAGAACTTTACAAGCTGGAATCCCTATTGGTCCTTGCAACAATCCTGTGTAGTAGATTGTAGCAGATGTGGCAGGTGTTCTAACTCATGTCTTGCTCAGCCTTTCTTCTGATTTCAGTCTTGGCTGGGTTGGACACTTCCCTGCAGGCTTCTGCTCATTTCAAGCTGGCAGTGTACCCACTTCCATGGAATCCTCTGATGTTGTGAACAAAGTGGGGCTCAGTAGGTCTAAGCACATGTGGAGACAGTGTGTGGAGGGCAACTTGACAACAGGAGATAGGAGCCAATGGGTAAATGCACCACCACCTCTTCTCCCAACAATTCTTGGAGGCATTCTACACACCCTCACATAATCAAGTCTCTGCTGTCCATAGTGGGGACTTTGATAATGACCCCTCCTTAGGGATACTTCTTCCTTCTTTGTCTCACTCTCTTCGTAACCTCAGTCTTGCTCCCTGGGAGCACCTCCCAAATAAAGAATCTCTTGTTTCCTGAGATGACTTCTCAATTAAACCACACACACACACACACACACACACACACACCCTGTCTCAGGCTCGGCTTTGGCAGGAACCCAAATGAAACATGTGGTACTGGAGGAAGGACATCCTCCAGATGAAATTCTGGAGGTGAACCATTCACCACTGATGGGGTACGTGGGGTTGGTGATAACCCCCAGCATAAATACTAAGACTCGTCTGTGGTGCATTGGGAGGAGGAACAGGTAGAAGGAGAAACACTTGGTTATGTGTTAGCATCAGGACATCGATATCATGAGAACCATGGTAATTATATGCATTGTGGAGTTTTAAGAATAAAGGATGGCTTTTGTTAACTTTCTTGAAAGCCTTGAAGAAACAGAATAATAAACCCAGGTCAGTCAGCTATCAACTCAGAGTATGTTGCGAAAATGAGAAAATTTCCACGGCAACATTTTATCAGACATTAATCTTCTGTAGCCACAAGGCAGACAGTGCTGAAAATCAGGCCTAGGATCTAATTGTAAGGGTGGCAGAGCTATAAGGAGGGCCACGTGTGTAGCTTAGTTGGTTCCCCTTTGCTAAATCCAGGGCCCTCATAGAGAAGGAGTGAGACCTTGAGTCCTAGAATGGGGGTGTTTGAGAGGCTGAACAAGAGAATTTTAAACCCCAGACTCTCTTGCACCCACTTGGATGGCAAAAGCAACCCTTCCCCTTTGTGGGAGGAGATCAACCTCCCTTTGCCTGAAGACCATGCAAAGACC